CTGTTTGTGAGGAGCAACCACTGTGTTACAAGTGTGGAGGATCATCAGTGAACACTTCAATCCTACCTTTATCACATTACACTTGCTGCTGGTGTGCTGATCTGGGAAGCCATTTCATATGACAGTCAGTCACTCCTAATAGTGGTATGAAGAATATTGATTGCACAGTGGTATTTTTAGGGCCTCCTATGTCCTCACATGTTTTTCATAGTAGGGCTGCAAACAGCCATTTTTCCATCAAGATAATACTCAGCCACACACAACTAAAATATTCCAGAAATGTCTATCACATTGTCACACTTCCTTCATCTGCTCAGACCCTAGATTTATCACCCATCAAACATTTGTGGGACTTGGCGAAATGTCAGCTTAAGCCATCTATGAGTATGAGAGGTCAGGGGTGGCAGTTACAACATCTGTGAGCAAATCTGTTATAGGATAGTTAGTGCCCAACTGTATTGCTGCATGTATCCAGATAAGAGATCATACAAAGTACTAAAGATGTGATAAAAGATAATTTTTGATTTATTAGATTTATATTTAGTTACTTACATTATTTATTTTCCCATTTCGTTTCAGTTATTTTGTTTTGGAAACTGAGTTATAGTCTTGCTATCTCAACACTTCCTAACTAGAGCTTCATTTGTATAATTTATTACTGAGATTTAAATAATGAATGGAATAACATTTCACTAGTATAATATTTTAGCTGTATTCATCAACAGAAGATTATTTAGAATTTATTCCTACTCATAGATATTGGTAGAAGACACAACTAAATGAAAAGTTATTTCTTATAAACTTGTGTATAGGGATTGTAAATTTACCGACTTTTTCATTTACCGGTAATTCGGTAAATGAAAATTAAAATACCGGTTTACCGGTAAATCTTTTTCCTGAAAAATAAAATTAAGGTGATAAAAAATATAAGTAATTTTGATTTCCATTTCACATTTTTTATTTCAAAGATATAGAATATAAAAATTAAAGTGTTATTCTAAACAAACTATAATAATAACTTTTAGAAACATAAATAAAATAATACAGAAAAATAAAAATAAAACAGAAATAATATATAGTACCTAATACCATTTTATTGTTTACCATTTTTTAAAAAATAACTTCTCAAGAAACTTAAATTATTTAAAGTCTTATCTCCTAATTTTGATCTAATTTTTGTACAAAATAATCCGGGTTAGGTTAAGTTTCTAGACTTTTTCGGACATCATCTTTAAGTAATAAAAATCTTTCCAGCATGTTTAGTAAGCTATTCCACCGGGTTCTNTCATCATAAATGAATAATTAAAAAGATGTATATCTTTGCCAAAATGAACTAAATATTGAATTCTGATAAATAGAAATATGCACACTCAAGAATACTAACTGCTTTCTCTCAGCTCAAAGTATAATCAGATAATAATAATTATTATTATTATTATCTGATTATTATTATTATTATTAGTAATACACAAAAGTAATTAAGCATGTCAAGAAAAGTTTTAAGTTTTAATTAATATTTGAAATATATGTTAAATAAATTTGATATTTTATAACTAATAAATTGTTTAAAATATTAATAAATAACTAATACCATATTTACTTGCATATAAAACAAGTTTTTTATTCATTTTTCACTGCTTCAAAAACCTAGGTTGCCCTATATGCGCGAACGAAGGATTCTTTGCGTTTTTGTAATAATTTCTTTGAACCATGTATACTTCATGCTGTCATTATAGGTCTACAGTCTATTTATCGTAAGTTGACACTTACTGTAAACAAATTAAGACATACACCCCTTTGTTTATTGGTTTAATCCTACATCCATCAATTAAAAACTGCATTGCATCTCATTCGTTCACAGAAAATAGTTTCTCGTTATTTATAAAAACATTAATGAAATACAGGTCATTTAGCAATGATTATAAATATAGTTATTTTATATTAGTTAAATTGTTATTTTTAATGAATATTAGCACATTCTGAATCATTAAAAATAAACTTTTCCTGATCACACAATAATGTTTTGGTTTTGTTTTCAATTCCTCATGTATTAAGGCAAATATGGTTGTCTGTCTTAATACATGCATTTGATAATATTTTGTGATTAAACAAAATAAAATTAGAATTGTATTAATAAATCTAATTTTTTTTATTTTGATCTCTAAAGTCACACCTCGTCCTATACATGAGATTGACTTATACCCAAGTAAATACGGTAATTTATTTTGAACAAATATACATAAAAATACTGTCATCAAATTTAATATATTGAATATTTCAATTCTGAAAAATTCAGATTTCATACTTTCCAAATTAATATAAAGATACTGCTTTAATGTTGCTAAAATAGCTTTCTTTTATATTCATTCTAAAAATATTTTAAATATTTATTTATTTGTTTAATATTCTGAAAAGAGATGGATGTATTTAAGAATTTCTTACATTCAAGCATGACTGAATGTAAATCTAAAAGAATCTTTGAAATTATTGCTTCAAATCTTAAACAAATTAACTTCAAGACTGCTAACTTTTAATTACCGTATATGACAGCATATAAATCAACCTCAAGATTTTCAGCTGAAAATGCTGATTTAAACCTATAATTACTTTATAAGTTGTCTCCAAACACACAGTAGGATGCCAAGAAGCCAGAACTGAAATGTGGATACAGTATATGATAGCATAAAGATTTAACCACCCCATACCACTCACCACCATGATCACCATCACTAATTCCCAAAACTGGATAAATAATTATCTTACTTTTTTTCATTAATCTTTCTTAAATATGAAATACAGAACTCACATTTACTTCAATCGTTCATATTAGAGGAATTTTGGGTATTTAGAAGTTTAATGATATTTTTGGCAAAAATATGCTGTAGAAATATGCTTATTTAGCCTAAAGTAAATATGGCTTTATATGTCATTTTGCTTAACATCACAGTTTCTAAGAACCTATTGAAAACTTAAGTGAAGACTTGCTACATATTATATAGTTCATATGAAAAAGGATGTGAGCAACAGAATCTACATAGGACACTAAGAAACTGCTAAAAAATGTTCATTAAGTTCTTAAGTCAGTAAATCTTGGTAACAATGCTATTGTAAACAAAAATTTTCCAAAAAACATATTTGAGCCAAAATCAATACTTCCAACAAAATACTAAATGTTTTACAATAAATACAACAAAACATTAAATAATATCATAATAGTTTTACTATTTATACTACAGTGTTCTTTCATTTCATATATATGACAGAATACTATAGTTTACGTTTGCATATGTGGTCTGTCATTTGCATCAGTGATGCTAACAGTTGCACATTAGCTGTTAGAAACGGCATTAATGTTCATTTACACTAAATTTTTAATTAATATATTAATTTCTATGTTAAATAAGTTTATCAAATCCGACTTTTAGTTGAAAATATTTGAGAAGCCTTTCAAGTGATATCTAGTAATTGTTATTAGTGCTGTTTCACTTGTTTAGCTCTCTTTGGTAGAAGTTTGAAGTTTGTATTTTATACCCAGCATATAAATCAACATCTAATTTTGAAGACATTATCTCAGGCTTAAATAGTCAACTTTTATACTAGTATATATAGCAAAACTATTTAAACAAAATTCTAAAATTAACAATATTTTTCAATCAAATCAATAATATTTCTGGATAATCAAAAATAATTTTCATAAAAATCCTATAACTTTTCAAGACTTCACTTAATAATACTTGAAATGTTACAAAAATAATGTCTTTATTTCAAATAACCAAAGCAATTTATTATTATTTACAACATAATTCTGTACTAATTTATAAATCTTAAAAGTGATGGTCAAATATTTTTATTAAGTTTTATTAAAATTTAATTTTCTTTTAACATCTAATTCAAAATAATCTAAATATATACTAAAACACCAATTACAAAATTAGAATCAAATCTGAAAATAAAATTTCTTTTACAATTATATATCAAAAGTTTTTGTACTTTTCTTTTAGACATTAAAAAATTGTGATATGTAGATTTATGCAATAAAGATAAAATGAACTTTTCACAGACGTATCAAGTATTGAAAACAATAGAAACTGAATGTCAGAGGAAACCAGAGGAAATGTCAAAAATTAAATTCCCACCTTAGAAATCAACTCCATCAAAAAGTTTAATGAAACAAAAACATTTTTAACCTAATTTGATAGGTCTTCATCAGCTGATATTCCAAATAAAACAAATTTGAATAAAAACAAAAATTCAATAAATACCAGTAGAAGAAAGTATAAAATCTTTCAAAATACTCAACTGACGAAGTCCTATCAAATTTTTTTTTATTAACTTATCGCCGGAGTCAATTTCTAAAGTACGAATTTATTTTCCAAATAAATATGTATCTATCTCCAAAGATACAATTTACCGTGATTCATTTTCAGCATCAATTATTCGTTTCGCTGGAAGTTTTAATCAACTTTTATAGGTTAATAAAATGGCAAATTTCACGTACAATTTTCTTAAATAATTTACACCGGAAAAAAATTACCAAATATAGAAAAAAATAAAAAAATAAAAATAGATTTTGTATAGTGGGACAAAGTCATTATACGGTAATTATTTTGTCAAATCTTTCGCAATTCCTACGTATTACAAAAAGAAAAACAAACGACTATAATTATAACCAAAGTGAATTTTCATGTTTTTCACATTTCATTAGATTTTTATGTACAAAAATATTAAAATTATCCTAAGGCAAATGTTATTTTTAATTATTTCTTTGTTTTTATATATATATATTATATTTATTTGTATTTCAAAATAATTTTTATTTATCATTGAAATAATAAAGTGGCTGGCCTTGAATAATAATAATACAAGTAAGTGGTATATGTATCTTTACTTTAAAATTGCATATCAATATACACACACACACATACATACATATATATATATATTAAATGTATTGAATATCTTACACATCTTTGACGTTTAATATATAAGAAAATACTCACCAGTTCTCCAAGGATCTGGTGGATCAACATAACCAGTTACAATCATGTCGTCGTTGGGAAAGTTAACTCGTCTTCCTTTACATCTCATCTTGCGGGACTGTATACTTTTACTACTTTCTGTCGGCGTTGTTGGCGCAGAAACTGATTTCTCCGTTAAAAACGTATCATACGCGTTGATTTCCATATCTGTCGTCATCGCTTCCTACCTTAAAGAAATTCTCTACATCGGAAATGTTATCGCCATTTCTGCTGTTTTACCTCCCTGCTTCTTCGTACTAAATACAGTGCCATCTGGCGATTTTACTAATATTAACTAGAACGAAATATAATTTTAGTTTAATGATATTTTTGGCAAAAATATGCTTATTTAGCCTAAAGTAAATATGGCTTTATATGTCATTTTGCTTAACATCACAGTTTCTAAGAACCTATTGAAAACTTAAGTGAAGACTTGCTACATATTATATAGTTCATATGAAAAAGGATGTGAGCAACAGAATCTACATAGGACACTAAGAAACTGCTAAAAAATGTTCATTAAGTTCTTAAGTCAGTAAATCTTGGTAACAATGCTATTGTAAACAAAAATTTTCCAAAAAACATATTTGAGCCAAAATCAATACTTCCAACAAAATACTAAATGTTTTACAATAAATACAACAAAACATTAAATAATATCATAATAGTTTTACTATTTATACTACAGTGTTCTTTCATTTCATATATATGACAGAATACTATAGTTTACGTTTGCATATGTGGTCTGTCATTTGCATCAGTGATGCTAACAGTTGCACATTAGCTGTTAGAAACGGCATTAATGTTCATTTACACTAAATTTTTAATTAATATATTAATTTCTATGTTAAATAAGTTTATCAAATCCGACTTTTAGTTGAAAATATTTGAGAAGCCTTTCAAGTGATATCTAGTAATTGTTATTAGTGCTGTTTCACTTGTTTAGCTCTCTTTGGTAGAAGTTTGAAGTTTGTATTTTATACCCAGCATATAAATCAACATCTAATTTTGAAGACATTATCTCAGGCTTAAATAGTCAACTTTTATACTAGTATATATAGCAAAACTATTTAAACAAAATTCTAAAATTAACAATATTTTTCAATCAAATCAATAATATTTCTGGATAATCAAAAATAATTTTCATAAAAATCCTATAACTTTTCAAGACTTCACTTAATAATACTTGAAATGTTACAAAAATAATGTCTTTATTTCAAATAACCAAAGCAATTTATTATTATTTACAACATAATTCTGTACTAATTTATAAATCTTAAAAGTGATGGTCAAATATTTTTATTAAGTTTTATTAAAATTTAATTTTCTTTTAACATCTAATTCAAAATAATCTAAATATATACTAAAACACCAATTACAAAATTAGAATCAAATCTGAAAATAAAATTTCTTTTACAATTATATATCAAAAGTTTTTGTACTTTTCTTTTAGACATTAAAAAATTGTGATATGTAGATTTATGCAATAAAGATAAAATGAACTTTTCACAGACGTATCAAGTATTGAAAACAATAGAAACTGAATGTCAGAGGAAACCAGAGGAAATGTCAAAAATTAAATTCCCACCTTAGAAATCAACTCCATCAAAAAGTTTAATGAAACAAAAACATTTTTAACCTAATTTGATAGGTCTTCATCAGCTGATATTCCAAATAAAACAAATTTGAATAAAAACAAAAATTCAATAAATACCAGTAGAAGAAAGTATAAAATCTTTCAAAATACTCAACTGACGAAGTCCTATCAAATTTTTTTTTATTAACTTATCGCCGGAGTCAATTTCTAAAGTACGAATTTATTTTCCAAATAAATATGTATCTATCTCCAAAGATACAATTTACCGTGATTCATTTTCAGCATCAATTATTCGTTTCGCTGGAAGTTTTAATCAACTTTTATAGGTTAATAAAATGGCAAAATTTCACGTACAATTTTCTTAAATAATTTACACCGGAAAAAAATTACCAAATATAGAAAAAAATAAAAAAATAAAAATAGATTTTGTATAGTGGGACAAAGTCATTATACGGTAATTATTTTGTCAAATCTTTCGCAATTCCTACGTATTACAAAAAGAAAAACAAACGACTATAATTATAACCAAAGTGAATTTTCATGTTTTTCACATTTCATTAGATTTTTATGTACAAAAATATTAAAATTATCCTAAGGCAAATGTTATTTTTAATTATTTCTTTGTTTTTATATATATATATTATATTTATTTGTATTTCAAAATAATTTTTATTTATCATTGAAATAATAAAGTGGCTGGCCTTGAATAATAATAATACAAGTAAGTGGTATATGTATCTTTACTTTAAAATTGCATATCAATATACACACACACACATACATACATATATATATATATTAAATGTATTGAATATCTTACACATCTTTGACGTTTAATATATAAGAAAATACTCACCAGTTCTCCAAGGATCTGGTGGATCAACATAACCNAAGCCATACAATTCATACGTTTCTATTGAGGAGGAAGTTGCCGATATTTTAAAATACATTTTTTCGTTTTCCGAAAATAACTTCTAAATTTTTAATAGTAATGCTTTATATTTCCTTTAAAGAAATTCTCAGTTGTTGCCATGTTAATTAAACTAATTTCGGATATAAATTAAGGAGAAAATTGAGCTAAATTTTTTTATAATTGTAAATTTTCGATATTTTGTCTTTCAAGTTATAAAAAGTAATAGTAATTTTAAATTATTTGTTTTAAGAAACGTCATATTATTTAATTGTTGGCATAGTCGGCAGTGCGTAAGCATTTCGATGAACTGATCCTGCAATATTTTTTTTTTACAGTGTTGTATATGGTGAAAAATGACTACATAAAACTACAGAATCATACATCATTGATAGACTGCAAACGAGTAAAAATTCTTCTATCCGAAGTAAATTATTGTAGATTATTCTTTTGAAAAGGAAATTAAGAATTTTATATCCATTATCTGAAAATTAATCATAAATGTAGTAACAGGTCAGAAAATTCCCACATCTCACTCATAGTTTAATCATGAAAGGAACAGATGATCATCTATAATCAAAAATTGCTGTTAGTGATTTCGATTAATCTACGTTACAAATCCTTTCCTTATTTTCTCGAAAGTGAAAGAAAAATAAATTAATAATTTATTTACTAATAATTTTTCATATTTTTTTTAATGTGTGAATGTTTCATAACAATGTGTCAATGTGAATGCTGCCATAAAAAATACTTTCTTTTTGCGGTAAACTTTTAAATATTTCAAAATTGAGGAAAAATTATTTAAGAAATAATAATAAACTGTATACATTTATGGCACACCTTCCTACGCCACCCATTATTATATATATATATATAAAAGTACAGTAACTGTAGGATTCTTGATCGATGAGGCGTTGAGTTAAACTTCCCTAATTACGTCATTGCAAGGTGATAAGTCTATAAAATTTTATCACAGAATAACATCTGTGTTCTTATTTATATTTATCGTATTTTTATGAAAATTACATTCCTGGTATTAGAATTAATCGTTAAAATTATAAGGAGAAAAACATTTCTGAAATATCCGAAATTGAAGACATAACTAATCGCGTATAACTTATGATTATTAGTTCTTGAAAAAGAATATTTGTAAAATTAATGTTTGAATAAGTTGTTAAATAAATAAATGCTATTCTGAACTACATACCGTTATTGGCGAGTAAGAAATTTTCTATGGCAATGAAAATAAATAAAATATAAGATAAAACAGTAAACATTGATAGTGATCAAGTTATTTTTACAAAGGAAATTGAACTGAATAACAAACAGATTATTAATAACTAATTTAGACATTACGTAACACTTATATATTTTCTTATATACACTGTATATGTATGTGTACAATATGTTACATACACTACTTTTTGTTAGCGAATATGATTTGTTCCATGCACTATATAAGTGCTTATATTAGTTCATTTATCAGATTAGTTAAATATTTCAATACTGAATCATAATATAATTATTACATACATTTAAAAAATTATATTTAGATTGACTATGAATAATAAAATAAGTTGATAGGCTCAGACAAATATTTAAGATAATAATTTGAAAGCGTGAAAAACTTTTATTCCAAAATTATGTTATTTTTTGCTTCCAAACATACATGCATATTGCATATTCCATATTGCATATTCCAAACATACATGCATATTGCATACGCGAAATAATTGATGTAAACGTGCATTTACGCACGTTTACATCAATTATTTCGCGTATCATTGAATAGAAACAATGTTGAGTAATTTTCGAAAGATTTATTTAAAAAATGATAAGAAAAAATTTTTTGATAAGATTATACTATTTAAAGAATTCTATAAATAACAGTTATCTTGTTTTGAATTTTTTGTCGTAAATTATAATATTTTGATCAGATGATCGCGTTGTTCGATGATCGATAACTTATGTACATTTTAATCGATCGATTAAAAAAATTCAAATTACTGTTTATAAATGTAATAAGAAAACGAATTTAAAACATTTCAATACAATCGAAACGTAAATACAGCGATTACTTTCTTTTGAACTGAACTGTAATGTAACAAATAATTGGAAGATATTGGATTGTCATGGATGGATGATTACAATCTTTATAAAAATATTCTAGTATAAAGAATTTCCTTTTATAGCTATAAAATAACAGTTCAATTTTTTTTCCTATTAACAATTTTTCCTCTTAGAAAACACTGTTTTATGAATAATAATAATAACAACAAAATTAGATAATAAAACATTTAATTATAGAAATGCAATGGGCATTTTTATTTTAGCTTNTAAGTTCTTAAGTCAGTAAATCTTGGTAACAATGCTATTGTAAACAAAAATTTTCCAAAAAACATATTTGAGCCAAAATCAATACTTCCAACAAAATACTAAATGTTTTACAATAAATACAACAAAACATTAAATAATATCATAATAGTTTTACTATTTATACTACAGTGTTCTTTCATTTCATATATATGACAGAATACTATAGTTTACGTTTGCATATGTGGTCTGTCATTTGCATCAGTGATGCTAACAGTTGCACATTAGCTGTTAGAAACGGCATTAATGTTCATTTACACTAAATTTTTAATTAATATATTAATTTCTATGTTAAATAAGTTTATCAAATCTGACTTTTAGTTGAAAATATTTGAGAAGCCTTTCAAGTGATATCTAGTAATTGTTATTAGTGCTGTTTCACTTGTTTAGCTCTCTTTGG